CATACATGATGTTTTGTTTCTCCCCCACCCTCTTCCTATGGGTGTCTCTAGTACCCACCAGGCTGACATTGTGAATAAGAAGTTATTCTTAATGTTTTGCCTGGTAAAATAAAAGTTAAATAAAATAAAATAAACAACCAAATCCATTATCCAAACAGAAAAACTTTAAGGAATTCAGCAGATCTACAGTTGATAAAAAACAAAACCAAATAAGTGACAAATCAAAAGGTGAAACTGCCATTTAACTGATAATATTCAGCACAAATTTGAATATAATTTTTCCCAGTGCAAACACTTGACTCTAGCCAAACTAAATGCCAGTTGGTGTGGGTTTGGGTCCCCTTTGCTATTGCTATATCATTGCTATATAACTATTTCTTCTTTCACAAGCTCTGTATAGAAATGAAACTATATGAAGTATTTTCAGAAAAAATAAAATAATGTTCCTAAAAACAACTTAAGATAAATCGACGCTGTGAGGCGGTCTGATTTAGATGGGAGAGAAATGTTGGTAGATGCTGAAAGCGATTTGCGGTTAGGGTGGAGGTGGTATGCCACTGAAGGCTCRACAGCTGGGGGTTAGGTCAGCCCCAGCTCATATCCATTCCCTGTATTTCCAGCTTGGAGCAGCCCTTAGTGGGGAGCTTGCTCCTGAAGGGGCTCAACCAGTAACGGTTCGTTTCCCTTATACAAGCTGGGACAGCTGGTAAAAAGCTGTTAAGCTGGTGTAGAAGCCGGTGGGAGCCTCGTACCGTCATACAGATCCCTTTCAGTCCCCTCTGCATTCTGAGCTGCAGGCCACAGGATGCCCAGTTTATTAGCCGCCCGTCTGCAAACTTCATACAGGTCAGTATCCGCAGGAGAAGCCGCACCAGCGCCGCTGGGAGGCCTCAAGTGAGGAGCGGGGAAAGTTGAATCTTCCTCCTCCTCCTCCATGCCATCCATATCAAGGAGGTCGGAGTTAACGTCAACATCTGCCTCCTCCTGACCTGCTTCGAGTTCTCCGCCGTCTGCCAGCTCTTCGAAAAGTGGTGGCAGGACCGAGGACTCGTCCTCCATCATGTCCGCCCAGATTGTAGCTCGCAACTGATGGCTGACACCTGGAGCCGCTGTCGAGGACAGCCTCCTTTCCAGGATTTTCTCCGGCATGTTGGAGCAGTGCGAAAACTCCTGTGGATTCGCCAGCAACGCTTGCTCGTGTTTGGCGCCCATGCGTGCTATGCACATTGGGTGAGGGTTCCTACCGGAGATGGAGGCCCCACATGACGCGGGGCACGGGCYGGATACAACCTCCTTGGCTTTAGGTTCCGACCCCTTGGGTGCTGTAGCCATGATGTTGGACAGAAAGCTCGTCGTGACACGTTAGCTATCAGTCTGAAAAATTTGCTGTGGGGTTAAAACCGAGCAAACCACCTAAACTTAGCAGCTCGTCGTGACACGTTAGCTGAAAGTTTATGGCTAGCGAACTAATGCTAACTCAAAGTAATGCTAGCTCACCTTGACGCGTTAGTTAAAAGTTACAACTAGCACCGTTCGGTTACTTAAAGCCAAGCAGTAGCGGGAGCAGCTCGCCTTAACGTGGTCACTGCTCGTGAGTGTAACAAAAGATACTTCTCACAAAGTCTTACTCAGCACGAGTCCAAAGCTGAAGCCAGGAAACTGCGTTTGGCGACGTACTCCTTAAGGGGATGCCTGGAAACTGTTTAGCCGCTAACCTAGCTAGTCTGAAAACGCTGAGGGAGCTTGCAATAGCTTCTCACGGGAAGAAAGCAAGAATGAGTTGGGAGGGGTCGGTTGTTAACTGATTTATTGCTTTTATTGTGGTTTTTATTATTGAATTTTGTAAGGTGACCTTGAAAGGTGCCTATAAATAAAATGCATGACTATTATTATCATTATTATTACTATTATTACTATCGGCCTGCGCATCCTAAGAATTTTGTATTTTGTGTTTATGTTTTTGGAGTTTTTTTACCCATACCTGTATCGTAAAGGTAAGCTAGCTAACTCACCCCCCGGTCCGTTCAGGTCTGTTATCCAATACATAATGCTAAGGTTTTCTTAAACAATTGTGTTCATTCTGTTTTTTATGGCTAAACATTTCTTTTTGCTGATGCTGTTCCACTCCTTCTGTTGCATGTAATTTATTACGTGTTTAGTCATTGTAAAGCAATTGACTTTACATGACTAAAAATGTAATAAATCACACACAAAGCAAACACACACACTCACACACAAACATATGGCCTTGGCTTGGCGGAAGTTTTTGCTCTCCGAGAGCTACTAGTTTAAAATTGAAGTGACTTGTATTATTTTCTCCTGAATTAATTGCATTTGATTTAATGCAGAGTACATTTAAATGTATTTTTGGTTTATTGTAATATTTTGTTATTGGAAACTTCTAATTAAAGTTTTAAGATCAGTTAGGACAAAAAAAAAGACCAGTTAGGACCATACAGTAGATGTTTCTGAGTAGCACTGTGTCTCTATGCTGGGGGATAGGAGGATGCTGGCGTTGAAATGGACTGACTGTCCCACCATTTTGTGTAACAAGAAAAAAAAGAATGCAGATCCATATCCTGTGTGATGACCATCAGTGATCACCACACTACTGCTACACCTGAACTTGTACAGTGCTTTATCAAGTCTGAACCCTCCAAAGCTTTTCACACTACAATCAGTCATTCAACCATTCATACACACATTCACACACTGATGGTGGAAAACTACATTGTATCCACAGCTGCRCTGAGGCAGACTGACAACCCTCTGACCCACACCAACAGYCAAGGCAGGTGAAGTGTCTTGCCCAAGGACACCACAACTAAGACAGTCATCCTGTAACCAGCAACCCACCAGCTACAGGATGACTCCCCTAACCACTCATCCACAGCCACCCCAAACAAACCCAAGCGTTATAAACTTAAATTGTGCTGCCATGTTAATTTTAGAGAGAAATTGTGTTTGTTTTATTCCACTTGTGAATAATCTTTCTCTCTCTACTTTGTAAACAACATTTAACTTTCCCAGATTAACAGGCAACAGTTGCTTCTCTAAGGTCATTGCTGATGTTTTTCCTACTTGGCATTGTGTTTATTCACACATGTATCTCTCCTTGAGGGCTGCTTTCCTCCATGTTTTACAGGTTGCCCTGCTTTAAGAAGTGTATCTTTTATTTCATTTCAAATGAACAAGTCAGCTCAGTCTGGGACTGACTCCTGTTGTCTCCCTGGATTATTCAGGACACGAAGCTCTTTACCGCAGCCTCGGCTGCTCTCTGTCCGACCCAGACCACACCAGCCCCGGACAGCAGAGTTGGAATGGCCCTGACAGAAYAAAAAACATGCGCTGCAGCCACTCTGCTCCAAGATCACTAGTTTAGATCAGGAATAAAAAAAAAGTTCAGGTCTTGTTTGAATCAAGTTCAGATCCGGTTCAAACTGTTTTTCATTTCACAATAACGAGCTGATCGCGGACATGCAGCTGTCAATCACTGCCTTGCTACGCTGCCTCTTTTTCTCCTCCCGCCGTCTGCGGTGTTCCACACACACGTTCTTGTTTTCCAGTTTCTGCTGGAGGAACAGCGGGCTGAGCTTCATCTGTCCACCTTTCATTCATTCCTGAACACTGTGGCAATGATCTATGTTGTATTATAATAATAACAGGTCTAATAAAAATTGATCATTGGGCTGTGTGTGTGTTTTAGTCCCGATCAAAACTACGTGACAAAGAAACATTTTAGTTTGTTTAAAACAATATTGAACCACAAAGAGCATCTATAACTAAGTTAACTCAGTTTGTTTTATGACTGATAAGAGGCAGATGTCCAGTGTGAACCTGCTGGTTCAACACAGAGAGCAGCGCAGGCAGCCACCACCTCCTCTCCTCACCCGAGGCTGAGGGAGAGTCAGGCTGTGGAGCTCAGTGGAGCTAAAGTCTTATCAGATCCAGCTGCTGGTTCAAAGGTTGATTCAACGATACATGAAGCCTTGTGTTGCTGAGGCATTGTGTGTCTGTGTATGTGTGATTGTGTTCAAGTGATGTTAGCTGCTAACATGCTAATACGAAGCTGTAACAGACGATCATGCTGTGCTAGCTGTTCCAACCCTCTGACTGCTGCAGGGGCGTGTCTTAGAGAGAGGCTTTTATACCAGAACACAGCTGCTGTGATGAAACTGTGGAGAAGACACGTCATCCTGGAGAACCGTTTAACCAATACGTAAATTAGCCTGCAGTACCACTGGTCAACCAATAATATGAAGCAAAAAGACGTTTTTAGACCAAATATTACAGATTAGAACAAATACGCACAAAAACGTCAAAATTAGCACAGAAACAGTACTATATAACATTTTAGACACATTCTAGACAGTTTATCAGCCAAAAAATGTAAATTTTGGGGTAAGTTCCTCTTTCAACACACCTGATTTTTATTAATGGGTGATTAACAGGCTCCAAGAACTTGAACTTGAATTCAATCAATCAGGTGTGATGGAGCAGGGAAAAAAACAAACAAACAACAACAACAACAAAAAAACCTAGCAGGATAGAAGCTCTTGAGGACTGGAGGTTGACAACAGAACAAACTCCTGAGGTACATTGATAATGATCAGTTAATCAATATATCTGATCAGCACCTCCTGGCTGATACTGCGTCTCTTAAACCCAGAGGAAGCAGTAAGGCTGGGCTTGGTTCTTCCGCATGCAGCTTTCGATTTTGCGTAGTTTTTGTTTAACAGGTTCTAAAATCATGTCAGTCTAACAAAAACAATAGATTCCACCACACAACATTTTATTAGACTAAATGATTTTGAATATATCTGGATATATAAAATCCTAGTACTAACAGTGACTGGGCATTTTCTTCCCCTATGATTGTATGTTTTAGTAACATGACATATTTACACAGAACAATTTCAAGAAAGGATAGTATTTCCGTGACTGCTTTCAAGAACAATAGTTCTGTTAATGTAACAGTGCATCATTGTTTACAGACTGACCTGGCTTAGCAGAAGTTCAAACTGTAGTCACATTCAAACACTGACGCAGTAGGATGTCTCTTCTTTTATATGCGGGAACTTGTATGATACAAACCTTCTCCAATGGAGGACCCCAGGCCGCTGACTATATCATTCACTTTCTGTTGTCTCTGAAAGGGGAGAAGAAAAATAAAGACACAAACTTAACAGAGTGAAAAAAAATCCTACTGGTGGAAAAGACGAGTCTCTTTAAACATGTTTCATTATCAGCTGGATAAGTGGAGTATTAACTTTCTCATTTACTTCTTTTCTGCTAAAAAGTGATCAATAAACAGGGACTTCACAATGAAACAAACCGCTGAATTATTCAGCAGTGAAATCGACACTCTTGTTTGTTATATCAAAGAGAGCTGATGAAGCTTCTGTCTGCTACCTGCTTATTAATGTATGAAATAACTTGCGACAAGCTGAGGGCTGCCAACAGTCATCATTGTTCACTGAATCCCACTCCAGAGCAAAGAATAAATACACTAAGGCTATGTTTTTAAAGTGTTGTGACATTTGAGTAAGTAAATTTTATTTATATAGCACCTTTCACAGACACAAACATCACAAAATGCTTAACAGGGAGCAAAATAACTAAAAACAATAAAACAGATCATAAATATAATGAAGAACAATAAAAACAGAAAACACTGAACTAGAAGCCTGTCTGAACAAAAATGTCTGAAGATAAATTTAAAAGAGTCAGAAGAATCTGAGCAGCAAAGGGACAGGGGGAGTGTTCCAGAGCCACCTGAAAAGCTTTGTCTCCAGGTGTTTTGTAATGTGTTCGAGGGACCACCAACAGCTCTTGTTTGAAGACCTCAAAGTTCTGGATGGACGGAGAGGCTTCAAAGGGTCCAAAATGTATTTGGAGGCTTGACCATGAAGTGCTCTAAAGGTTAAAACCAAAATTTTGAAATGACTCCTCAAATGCACAGGGAGCCAGTGCAGAGGGGCCAGAACAGGAGGAATGTGAGCTCTTCTGTGGGTCTTTGTTAACCTCGRTCCAGCATTCTGCATAGACTGAAGGCAAGCCAAGGAGGTGAAGAAATTTTGTAACTGATTAATTGAATATTAGATTCAGTTTTGTATTTTATACTTTCTGATCATTTCAGTCTGTAAGGTTGAAGCTGACAAAGAGTGTGTGTGTTATCATGTGTTCTTTCTCTTAGCCTAAACAAAACTGAGTGACGTTCTGACGTCTGACGTAAAAGGTAACACCTCTGGGGTGTAACCAGGAAGAGATGCACATTATAAGCTGAATTCATTATTATAGTAAAGAAGTTGTCAGTGTTTTGCAGAGTGTCTGCTCAGAGCAGAGCTCCCGTGTTTGTTTTGGTTTGGCCCAAGGTTGTACGCTGAGGCCTGTGCTGCTGAGAGCTGAATGAAGCTGATTGGAGTCAGAAGATAATGAAAATAAAGTTTTAAAGAAGAAACCCAGCTGAATCCTGTTTATTCGGACATACCATTTTGAACAACGCATATTTTTCCAACAATTTGGTGACCCCGACGTGATGGATGATCTTGAATAAGCAGAGAACATTGGATTTTATTTTTGGCTGTTGAAGAACCTGAGAAGATTTTTGAAACATCAGCTGTTGAGAGTGAGSACAGAAAAGCTTCAAAATGCCTCCTTACTTTTCCAAAGATTTCTTACAGAGGATTTGTTTAGACACGTAAAAAGGCTGTTGCAGTAATCTAAACAAGAAGAAATAACAGCATGAACAACCATCTCTAGCCCCTAATTTACATTACTTGCGTTCCGTCTCTGCTCCGGTCCGACCTCCGCAGCACATACGCACCCATTATAATCAATGAGAGTGTTTACACAGGCTACGGCAGTGAGCGGACGGCGATCCATCAAAATTAGAACAGATCCTATTTTTGCCGGACAACGGAGCTGCGCCGGAGTCAATTTTTAAAGATTACGTCGCACCAACAGGAAAAGAAATGAGCACAACATCCGTATTTTCAAAATAAGACACTATTGGACAGAATAATTGTCAGAATAATGTCGAAATTGCAGCTATATTAATAAATATACGGATATATTTCTACACAAATACTGTCAGAATGTATCGTTCTGTTTGGGAAGCAGATGGAAACATGTAGCATGAAGCTATGTGTACACACACGATACACGTGGATTTTATTTTGAAATCAGAAGTTTCAGAAAGCTGACAGTGAGACAGTTTCAACATAGATACCAAAAGCCTTTATATCAATGTTTTCAGCTGTGTTTGGAGTTCGTCTTTGACAGAATTAATTATTTTTTGCTGTAACTTCCACATTTATCACAGAATTTATCGCGCGATCTCCTTCCTGCATGTCTGTCGGACCGGAGAGGAGCGGAGGTAGTGTAAARTGGACTTGAAATGGTGCAGCTGCGACCTGCGCAGCGGAGCGGAGACAGAACGCAAGTAATGTAAATCCGGGGTAGTTCCTTCAGTGACACAATCTGTCAAAAGGCAAGGACATTTATCACCTGTGAGAGATGACAAAACCAACAAGATTATCTTCAGTGTTTAAATCTGTTTCACTACAGCAAAAACATCAAGAATCCGATTTTGAACCTTATTTGACCCTGGTGACAAAAGTAGCATTAGCTAAACTGTAAAAAGTTGTTAAATCATCTTCAATCTTCTCTACATGTTTATTGTAATTATTTCTATCAATAACATGTTTTTCTTTTTGTCTCTCTTCCAGAAGAAGGTGCCCCTGGACAAAGTCCTGCACCAGTTCTTCTGTGTTTGACTGTCTCTCTTTCCTGTCCTCCAACCCASCCGGTCGAGGCAGAMGGTCGCCTGTCCTGAGCCTGGTTCTGCTGGAGGTTTCTTCCTGATTAGCAGGGAGTTTTTCCTCTCCACCGTTTGCTCAGGATGGGAGACTGTGATGAAGTGATTCAACACAATCTGCTGGCTTCTTCTTCAGATTGTTCTTTTCATGTACAGTGCCCTGAGACAATGTATGTTGTAACTTGGCGCTATATAAATAAACTGAACTGAGCTGAATTGAACTTCTTGAGAAACATTCCTCTGCAGCCTTTTATAGTGCCGACAGTATCACCACTAGGTGGCCCCCTCTATTTAGATTCAAATCCACAAACTGTGGTCAACACAATTTTAGCCCCATGCAATGATTATGTCCAGCAACAAGCATGAACCTTTCTAACAGATTGTAAGAATCTTGTTGTGATCAGTAAAAAAGCTATAGTTGATATCTTAAAAAGTAAAAAAGCATGTGATTTAATTAAAGTGAGTGAACGCAGAGTGAGAACAAGACAGGTTTAGATCACGCATGACACATTATTGTTTTTAAAATTTAAATGTGTGCACACATTAGCCTCACTGCATCTCAACAGCGTGGCACTAATAAGATGCCAAATGTGACCACATAATAGGTGCCCATTTATGATTTGGAAGAACAAACTATTCTGCAAGTTTGGTCATCATATTGAACCGTAAGCAAACACGTGACGACCAAAAACAGTTGTATCAAAACAGAGGAAACAAACTATCACCAGTCATTACCTCAACAAATTCTACCAACAATAAAATACAGTTTCAACACTGAAAGCAAGAGGTCAGCTAATCAAAAACTGTGTTAAGGGTGCCCCAATCTGGTACTGATATTGAATATCAGTCTGATATCAGCCAAAAAACAAGTATCTAACTATATCAGCCTTCATGTAAAATCTCTGATATAAGTACTCCGATACAGGCAGTCCATTTCAGCATTTCTATCTTACAGTGATCCAGCATGCAGAGCCCACATAACAAAAACGCACTGTGCTAACAAAGTAGCAAGGAGTAGGAGTGATGATGGCAGTAAAAATAATCAATATCACTTTTAAAATGATGCACAGGCACATCAGATCAATGAGAACAAAACAGGAAAATGTCTGAATTCCCTCTTCATATAATAACATGTTTCATTTTAAAATGAAAACTAAGAAAGGAAACCTGCAAGTTAACTCACCTCTCACAAAATGCTCACGTTGCTGAACGAGTGCCGAGATGTGAAAGAACTGTTTTAAGTTCCTTTGTTTTCATGCCAGTTGAGCACTTCCCATGAGTGAGCTCACAATCCCTTCATTATTACTACTCATGTAAATAACCCAGTTCCTCTTTAACATGTATTTATGACATCTGCTGGGACTGACTTAGTCAAACTACTCATATAAAAAGAATAAAAAATATTAAAGTTCAGTTTGTGGGATGGTGGCACATACAAGCATAACTGTCCCTCACAACAGGAAGTGCTCTGACGTTTCTCTGTCATAAACATAACGTTTCATGCTTGGGCGGTATGAAAGTATTTTGTTGTACTGTAGTATAAAATATGGTGAAGGTATGTAAAAAAACCAGATACCGCATGGTGGTAACATAATGACCCCCGCACGCAGAAATGCACCAGAACTCAGAAGTCTTTATTCCTAATAAATGTCATGCTATAGGTGCATCCCAAAATTGTAGTGGTTTGGATGGGGGTCTTTTTTTTGGGGTGGGGTTGGGGGGGGATTGGTTGATCTGATGGTTAGCCCCTCATCAGAGCTAAACAACAAAAATTGGAAGCTCCTATGTTTAATAGCTTTTGAGCAATAACCCTTTTTGTAAGTCCAGACACACTTTTTCAGATAAATTAGGGGTTCAGCGGGGGTGGGGGCACTGATTGGTGGGCCTGATGGATAGAGCTTCATCAGAGCTAAACAGCAAAAAAAAAAAAACTGAAGCTCCTACGTTTAATAGTTTGAGTTACAAGCGATTTTACATGTCCTGACACCCCCACTTTGAAAGAAGCCC